GTTTGGGGTCATGACCTTACAGTTTGTGAGTGGTGGGATGGTTTAGATTGGACAATTCCAGATAGTTTTGTGAGAAGACATCCCATGCTTGTCCAGATTATTAGATGTCAAAAACTATCTCAACAAGTGGACAAGGTTATATGGAAACCTGCAAAGAATGGTTTGTTTACTATTTCAAGCTGCTATGAGTGCCTAAGAGTGAAACGCCCAAAGGTAGAATGGCATCATATTGTTTGGGCAGGGTGCATTTTCCCGCGACATAGATTCATCTTTTGGTTGGTATTGCGGGGTAGACTAAAAACTAAAGATTTACTAACTAGTAGAGGTATGAGAATTGAGAAAGGGTGCTGCTTGTGTGGTAGATATGATGAAACTTGTGAGCACCTGTTTTTTGATTGTAGTTTTGCTAAAGAAGTGTGGAGGCTAGTCTTGAACTTCTTGAATATTCACAGACAACCAAAAAGGTGGAGTGTTGAATGGCTATGGTTAAAGAAGGTATGTAAAGGCCGATCGACGCAGTCAAACAAGTTGAAGGCTGCCGTAGCTGCCACTATATATATGATTTGGCAGGAAAGAAATAGGAGAGTAACTCTTAGTAAGTTTTTGGTTGAAAATGATGTATATAATAATATAGTTAATTTTTTGAGATTAAAGATCTGAAAGGTGTAATTCCTCGGGTATACCTGGGAGGAATTTGTATATGTCATCTAACATCTAATGGAAAACTTACCTTTTTCCAAAAAAGAAGTACGCATTGGATTTGCTGAAAAAATTCAACATGCAGAATTGCAAGATGTTTGCTACTCTTATGAATACAAATGAGAAGTTACAGTAGATGATGGAACTCCAAGAGCTAATGAGAAGTATTTTAGAAGTATGGTTGGTGGATTAATGTATTTGACTCACACTAGACCTGATATCATGTTCTCAGTTAGCTTGGTTTCAAGGTTCATGCATAATCCCTTCGTGCATCATCTTGGAACAGCAAAACGAATTCTTTGTTACATCCGAGCAACAAGCAACTTTGGAATTTGGTACAAGCCAATGCCTAACTTTAAATTGCTTGGTTTTACTAATAGTGATTGGGCAGGTTCTGTAGATGACAGAAAAAGCACAAGCGGATATATATTTAATCTTGGCTCGGGTGTTGTGTCTTGGAGCTCAAAAAAGCAAGAATGCACTGCATTACCTTCCTCTGAAGCAGAATATGTTGCTGCTACATCAACTGCTTGTCAAGCAATTTGGATGCGAAGGATTATGAAAGATTTGCAGCAAGTTCAAGAGAAGGCAACAAAGATCTTCTGTGACAACAAAGCAACAATTTTAATGACCAAGAATCCAATGTTTCATGGAAGAACAAAACATATTGAGCTGCGTCATCACTTTATCCAAGGTGCTGTTGCAGATGGATTAATTGCTTTGGAGTATTGTTCAACAAGTGATCAAGTTGTTGATGGATTTACTAAAGGATTTTGTTTTAGTAAATTCATGAAGTTCCATAGCTCACTTGGAGTTGCAGAGTTTGCATCAAGGGGGGATGTTGAAAACTGATGCAAAAGTGGATATTGTCTTTATCTAATTTGTTATTTAGTTTGAATAAGTCTTCCTAATTTTTTTCCAGAGAGTGGAGTAATTGCTATTTTTTAGGATTATTTGTTGAGTTAGTTTAGCCCATAATTTCAGTTGGAGTACAGTACGTGAGTATCATGTTACAATCCCACTACTTAGATTTCTAGTATATATTTGTATGTTTTTTTCAATAAATTTAAGTATTCAGAAAGTTATCTTTTCACTTCTCAATCAATTTGTTATCTATTTCTATTTTTCTGTTCTTCTCCAACACAAAAAACATATAGACTGGAAGGCTTGGTTAGAAGGATGTTACAATCCCACTACTTAGATTTCCAGTATATATTTGTATGTTTTTCCAATAAATTTAAGTATTCAAAAAGTTATCTTTTCACTTCTCAATCACTTTGTTATCTATTTCTATTTTTCTGTTCTTCTCCAACACAAAAAACATATAGACTGGGAGGCTTGGTTAGAAGGATGGAAATTTTGATTTCTACTGGATCGATATATATTTAATCCAATTAAGTTTATAGAAATCGGTTAAATTGCGGGTGAATCAGAAATGAGTTCCAACCACAATCAAAACCGACGACATTTTTTTGTAAAATTTTGATCTTAACCAAATTCAACAGATAACCAAATTAGTTAAATCAAAATTTCATAATTTGGTTTGAAATTTTGATTAAGTCGGTCTAGCCCAGCCACCCCTTCTCAGCTACTCTATGTATTATTATTTATCTAGCTACAAGAAGAAGAAGAAGAAGAGAAAAAAACCACTCACAAGGAAGAAACTTCCATAAGTGATGAGAATCATGTAGAATGGCCTTATGCGATCTTCAATGGCGGAAAGTAAGACACTGGCCAGAGCTAGGTGAAACACGTCTTGGGCATTCGAGATTATTGCATTGTGCCTGAGGTTGGAATTCCCCGTCTTTTGTCCAACCAATATGACCAAGAAACCCAAAAAGGAGTATTCTACAAAGGCATGCCCGAAATATAAACCTATCATAGTCAAAGATTGTATTACAGTATAAGTAAGTCACATATATAGGCTGTAAGAGACTCAATTTACAATAAAAAAAACGTTATATAATCTCTAATATATCAAGGT